AAAAATTTATATTATTAAACTAAAAATAAATTACTTTGTTATTAAATCTGAATTAAATTATAATAAAAAATTGAATTAAAGAAGTTACAACAAAAAAAACAAGAACGATTAGATAGTTAATTTGATACTAATATCGATTTTATTTTTTTCAAATTTTTATGTTATCTTCAAATTTATATTTCATTCAAAAATAAAAACATTATTGCTGTCTTAAAACGACATAAAATCGTATTATATTAATAGAGACAAAAAATAAAAACTAAATATTAAAATGAAGATTTATCTCGCTCTATTGTACGGGTACCCTTCTAGTTCTTAAAAATAGAGAAAAATGATATTTTTAGAGATTTTGGTTTAACTTTTTTGCTCAAACAGATATTTCATGACTCGTTTGGTTTGTAAGATTTGAAATTCATTCCATTCCAATCTTGTGTTTACGTTTGGAACTAAACTCACAAACATGGAATTTAGAAACTCCATGAGGATAATTGGTATTTTACAGGATTTTTTAAAATTTGTTTATAATAATATTTCAAAATAGAGCAAATTATTAAAAAAGTAACGTACTTTAACTTGATTCTTATTTTAGATAACGTGCTTTTAAAACTTTCATTTTGATGACTAAAATGTAAAGTTGAAATATTTAAGTACCCGAGTAACTGATGGAAACATTAACCGGTTACCATGCGGATATGATAAGTGATGGGATGAAATTGGGTTGAATATCAAATAATACTGAGTTGAATACCACATAACTTGCCACATCAGCATGGTAACTGATTAATGTTTCAACCGATCCCTTAAATGTTTAACATGTTACATCTTAGGTACCAAACTGGAAGTTCTAAAAGTATTGAAAGAATGTGAAAAGAAACTTCTGTAGTTTATTGAAATGCTATTCCAAATAGCGTTTCAATGAATTAGTTTATAAACTACTTTTTATCGATCAAAATGGGCTTCTAATATAAGCTCAAAAAATAAGTTAGTTTATGTTTGCCAAACATGACCTAAATGTGTTCACCGATGGATTTATTTGTATTATCATTTTATTGAATATTAAATGTATTGAAAATTTTAATAATATGATTAATCTTATAATCTTCCGAAATAAAAAAATTGTTACGGTTTAAAAGTGTTGCACGTTTGGTGGTCCAACTCCCAAATAATTCACCAATTTTTTTTGACACCTCACATCATCGGCCTCCTCACACATCCATTCTCCTCCATTTCCAGCCTCTGTACCCTTCCCATTGTCGGCCTCGGTTCTAGCCTCCTCAGATTTCACGAAAACAGTCTAGTCTCACATGTTCCATATGCTTATATATATATATACATACATACACACATATACATATATATATATATATATATATGTATGTGTTGTATGTGTGTGTATATATATATATATATATATATATGATCGTGTGAGGAGAGTTAACGTGGGAAGCGTAAAAGGGGATCTGAACCCTTGATCACCTTTAATTTTAAACCCATCCATGAATTAGGTTTGACACGAGGATTGATTTGGTGCATCTCAGTGCATCTCATTCTAATGTGCATCCATGGATGGAGATCCCTTATTACGTTTCTCACCTTAACTCTGTTTCTCACATGTGCTTACCATATATTAGTTATGGCAGTGGTAAGTGGTGGTGGATGGCAGTGATGGTTGGGTGGTGGATTTGAGATTGAAGGATAAATTACAAGCAAGTCGTGTATAACATTAGAACTGCTCGTACAAGTTCGATATATGAATCAATTAAAGGATATGCTGAAATATACGGCGGATCATCTTAAGTATATGGTAGGTTAAAATCTAAAAAATGGAGAAAAGGCCGGCACAAATGACAAGGAGAAATGAAAGGTGATCGGAGTTATGAGACGTGGTTGGTAGGGACGGAACTAGAGGAGTGGTTGGGGTGGCACGTGCCATCGTATTGTTCCTCCATGGTAACGTAAAAAAAGTTAGGTTGGTGAAAGGTGCAACCGATTTGTTCTAAAAGGTGCAATCGCTTTATATGGTGTTACCGTATCCAAAAATTCTTGGGTCCGTCCCGGTTGGACCGGAGAAACGGAGGGAATGGAGTGGGAGAAAGGAGATTCTTGATTTTTGTGAAATCCACATATTATAAGGATTAAATCCGTAATTTACTCTAAAAAAGTAAGAGAAATGAATAAAAAGACTCAAATACCCTTGAGCTAAACGAGTCATCATTAACAAAGTTAGGAAAAGGGACCATAGTCATGCAAAATGACAACCACGGGACCAAATCCATGTTTTTCAATTTAGAATGTTAATCATAAATTTTGCTAAACCCTAGGGATTGAATATGTAATTCACTCTTTCTATTTTCTTGTCTTTATTTTAAAATTATGGATTTGGTCCCTGTGGTAGGCGGTTTTTTTACAAAAATGGTCCTTAAAAGTTCATTTATTACGTAGATTGCCTTACCCTAATATGCATTTTTTTCTACCAGTCCTGTTAAACTTGAGGACAAAATGGTCTTTTTCCCATTTTTCTCTATTTTATTGATTTTTAATTAACTTTTTAACTCAAGGGCAAAAATGTAAACAAAAACTTGGAGGGTCGTAGACTTTAAAAGTTGGAGGGCCAATATAAAAATTAATCGTTTTGTGTGGTTCTTCTCCTAGCTCCCCGGCTAGTCACCCTGGCTCCCCTATCGTCGGTGAAATCCCCCTTTCTGCACCACTATCCTCACTCCCAACCATCACCATGTCTCTTTTCCCCCTATTCTCACACACTCACTTGCAACGATGACCCTCCCCCAACCCACCGTTGCTCAGTGACTCCATCCACCTCACGTCACGGACCTCTGCTCCTCGACCTGAACACAACCCCAATCAAGAGGGTTCCCCTGCAACCTCCTACTTAATTAGCCCCTCCCCCCGTAGACACACAAGATATAAGTTCCCGCTCCCATACCCCACCGTTGCAACCAAAAAAGCCACATACTTTAGTGTTCGTTTAACAATAGCCACACACATACACATAATCATAGGAGGAAGGGATGTGGGTGAGAGATTGCGATTATAAAGTGAGAGGGAGACAAGGGTTGATCTGGTTCCAGAGGCAGAAAGAGAGACGTGAACGGAGGTGAGAGACAAGTGGTGGGTGGATGTGTCTTTGCAGTGGAACGTGATGGCCGACGATTAGGTTCACGGTGTCGGAAGAACATCCCACTCTTTTCCAACGATTGGGTTCATGATAGGAGAGTTGTTTTGGCTCTTTAATTGCCATGGACATTCCATAAGGTATCATCTTAAAAAAAGACTAAAAGACAAAATACTAGAAAAACAACCATGAAAAGCATCAAATGATCTATGTAATAAATAAAGTTTTAGAACGAATTTTATAAAAACCAGCAAACGACAAGAACCAAATTTGTAATTTACTCTTTAACATCTATACTATATTATAAAGTATTTGACAAAAACTCTTAAAAAATATTTTTTATGAATAAATTACTGTTTATTGATGCATATCACTTAAAATTCAAGAATTAAAAACTGTATAATATCAACAGATAAATAATAAAACGAAACATTAAAATTAAAATATATCTCGTTATATTATACGAACACCTTTAACATAACCGTATAACCGTTGGAGATTAGAATACAGAAAAGACAATCCACCAGGACTGCCGTATTGGGGATCCATGTCTACAAAAATCACAAGATTCCATCATTGTCTGTTTCTCTTACACACGATTTATAAAACAAATTGGTGCTTCACATTCTTGTATCCTCTCTCTCCCTAACTATGGCTGCCACTCTAGCAACCCTTCAATTTTCCTCTCCATATCCCCAAACCCATCACTGTTTTACCAACAAATTCAAGCTCAAATCTCCTTTAATCTCCAAACCAAATCGTGGGTTTTCTATCTTCAAAGGGAAATTTGAGTTTAATGCTTTGATTTGGGATTTCTTTTGTTGGATTGATATGGGTTTTTGTTTGTGAGCAGGAACCTATCGGAACTGTGGGATTAAATGTTCGTATTCAAATGGGAGAAAGCCTGATTCGAGTAGCGATGAAAAGAGCCCGGAGATGCTCCGGGAAGAGAAACGGCGAGCGGAGTTGTCGGCTCGAATTGCTTCCGGTGAATTCACGGTTGAAAAGCCTGGGTATGTGACCATTGATCGTCAAAATCTTACAATTCAATTTGATGTTATCTTCAAATATTTCGTTATTGCTTGAATACAAGAACAAGTTAGAAATTCTGTATCTAACATAGAAGTTGATAAACAGTTTATGTAAGAAATTCATATATAAATACTGATTGTTATGTGTGAAACCACTTTGAATCTCTCCAAAATAGACCTTATAGAGTGGGGAAGGTTCGTATATCTATATCTACAACCATATATATCCATCTATACAAGGCCGGGTTCCGGGCAGAATGAAAGTTATGTTGAGAAGGGTAAGAAGGGGTCTCCACCGTTACATCGATCCTAATTGATGAGAACCACTAGTTCAACACTAAAGGGATACATTGGATCAATTCCCTTGTAAAGCACAATTCATTTGTTGTTTTGGGATTAAAAGTGATCAACGGTCCAAATCCCTTCTTACACTTCTCATGTTAACTCCTATTCTCACACCATTCTTCGTATATATATGGGTAGGTTCGCTAGGAACTTGGGAATTGCCCATAGCATATTCATAAGGAATATGGACATGTAATTCATCATGAATGCTGTAACTATTCATCATGAATGCGTGGTACATGATGAATAACATTTCCACAACACACTTATATTCATTATGAATGGGTGATTCATGATGAATTACACTTCCATATTCATCATGAATGTGTTATTCATGATGAATATTCATTCATCCTGAAGCGAGACACTTGCCATGTTGTGGGCTGTTCCTGGGTTCCTAATCAATTTTAGATTCCTAACAAAACTTCTCTCTCTCTCTCTCTCTCTATATATATATATATATATATATATATTGATTTTTATGTAAGAAAACCCCTTTGAATCTCTCCAAAATAGACCTTATGAAGAGGTAAGGTATCTTATATATATATATATGTTGATTTGATGGTACTGTGTCTAGCTGATGTGGGACTCCAACATGAACTTAAATAAACATGTGCATGCATATTTCATAGCAACTTTTGTTTTAATGGTTCTTGATGAGTGTTCTTATTGTTGTTTGGAAAGCAGTTTTGGATCGTTGTTGGTGAGTGGTTTGACAAAATTGGGTTTGCCGAAGGAGTTTGTTGAATCTTTATCTCAATGGATAAACTCCGGTGAAGGTTACCCAAAGGTTCCAGAGGCAAAAGGAGCAATTAGTGCCATTCGTAGTGAGGCCTTTTTCATCCCCTTGTATGAGCTTTTTCTTACTTATGGTGGAATTTTCAGGTTGACTTTTGGTCCAAAGGTTTGACTCTTTCTTCATGCTCATTTCGACTTACAATAGAAGATGAAACTTTGACTGAATCGTCTTCAATTGCAGTCTTTTCTGATCGTATCTGATCCCATCATTGCGAAACGCATATTGAAAGACAATTCCAAGGCGTATTCGAAAGTAAGCCTTTGTGTTCCTGTTTTTTCCGTTCCTGATTTTGTTTTCGGTATGCTTAAAATGTTTCATTTAGTTCCTATATAGGGTAACGAAGATTTTTTTTTCTTAATCAATGTAGTAAAGTTTTAAAAAAATTGTTATTTTTGTGCCCACTTTGAGCGGTTGTAACATTTGATTACGTGGATACCTGTTCACATATGTTTATGCCGAAGGCATCATAAACTTGGCATCCACGTCATCAAATGTTACAAGATCAGTAAGTTACTTGGTGGTAAAAATGAGTACAAAATAGGAAATTTTGAAACTTTGTTACATCGATGGTGAGAAAATATTCTGTTACACCAAATAGGAACTAAGACGGACTTCATGCATTTTTCTCTTTATATAATGTTAACTTGTTCATAACTTGATCGTTCAACGTTTAGGGTATTTTGGCCGAAATTCTAGAATTTGTAATGGGAACCGGACTAATTCCGGCGGATGGGGAGATATGGCGAGTTAGACGACGGGTTATAGTTCCCGCACTACATCAAAAGGTACCATTGCTTCAGATTTATCCTTACAAATTTTGTGCGTGTGTGTTTGCAAAGTGATAAGTCATATCAAATGGTCATTGACCGAGTGGTACCCGGGTTAACGGTAGAGCTCAATCTCTCCGGAGGTCAAGGGTTCAAACTTCACCAAATGTGAGGAATGTGCGTGATTATTTGCGGTATGTAAATGTATACACTTCATCTTTTAAGTGACTTCCAAGTGTAGTATGTAGCAGCGATGATTGGCTTGTTTGCACAAGCTACCGATCGGCTGTGCAAAAAACTTGATGCTGCTGCGTACAATGGTGAGGATGTGGAGATGGAATCGCTTTTTTCACGTTTGACGTTAGACATTATCGGGAAAGCAGTATTCAATTACGATTTTGATTCGTTGACGACGGATAACGGAATTGTGGAGGTATGTTAAAGTTTGGGTTTGGTAGAAATACACGACGCGTTCTCGATTTTCGATCTTCTTGCTCATGTCACATGATTGTCTTAGACCAGGCAGTATACACGGTTTTGCGAGAAGCGGAAGATCGAAGCGTGTCGCCGATTCCGACTTGGGAGATTCCGATATGGAAAGACATCTCACCAAGGCAGAAGAAGGTCAACGAATCCCTTAAGTTGATCAACACAACCCTTGATGATCTAATTGCAATATGCAAGGTGAATCTTTCAATACTTTTCACAATACTTCCCTCTTTTCTGTACATAGCGTACGTGTTTAGTGTTGGAGTCCCACATTAGCTAGACACATATCATCAATATATATATATATATACATACATATGTATGTATGTGTGTGTGTGTGTGCACGTGTCTGTATGCTTAGAGCTCGGTTCAAACGAGAACTACAAATATTTTGAGAATCATGGAACTAATTTTTTAGTGTATATTCGTTGTCGAAGATACTGATTGACGGAATACAAATACAAGTGAATATGTTCATTAATGAATTTATAGTATATATACATTTATAAATATACTCATTTCACAATGTACATATATTGATGAAATTTATGAAGTGCATATTTATCAATGAATACACACTATAAATTTAGTTCCCTAGTTCTCACATGAACCCTACCCTATATATACATACATGCATACACACACATAGGCGAAGGATCGTGTGAGAAAGAGAGTTAAGGTGAGAAGCGTAAGAAGGATCACCTTTAATCTCATTCCCACCCATGAATCTCGCTTGATACAGGGATTGATCCGGTGCATCTCATCTCAGTCCATCTCATGCTAATGTAATGTGCATCTAAGGGTGAAGATCTCTTCTTACGCTTCTCACCTTGACTCTCCTTCTCACCGGAGCCCCACATAATTAATGAACTCTAGTCATCTTCCATAAATATTGATCATAATTAATGAACTCTAATCATCTTCTATAAATATTCAAATCATAATAAATGAACTCTMATCATTTCTATAAATATCTCAATTGATTGGGTTGCATTGGTTGTACAAATGGACATGGTTGCATTTGAAATATACCCTATATATATGTATATATATATATTACCCCATCTGTAGGAATATTTTAGGGACGAATTCAAAGTTGTTCCATATATTCCCATTTTCATTTCTCAGCTTGAACCAAACAGTCCCTTAGAAGTTAGAAGTATGTAATAATGAAATTTTTAATTGACTAAATGACAATTTTACCCTTGATAATAGAGGGAGTAATGAATTTCCTTATCTCGTAATTAAAGGTAGAATTGGAATGTAGGCACTTGCTTTTGAAAATGGACACTTATTTTGGGATAGACTAAAATATAAATTTAAACACTCATTTTGGGACGGAGGGAGTAGATTACAAGCTACCAAAAAAGTGAAGTTGTCACAATTATATCTGCATCTAAACCATGCCATTTATATGTAGAGGATGGTTGACGAAGAAGAGGTAGAGTTCAACGAGGAATACATGAACGAAACTGATCCCAGTATTCTCCATTTCTTGTTGGCATCAGGAGACAATGTACGAGTTCTGTTTATATCGTCTTGTCTACTATCTTGACGAGATTACGGTACCGAATACACTTGTGATGCATGATGTGTAGGTGTCGAGCAAGCAACTCCGAGATGATCTCATGACGATGCTTATTGCAGGACACGAAACAACCGCAGCAGTATTAACATGGACCTTTTATCTTCTTTCCAAGGTATCTCAATAGAAGTAATAAGATAACCGGGCATTGTCATAACGGCTGTGAGGGCAATTAAGTAATTTGATTTCAGAGGTTCTAAATCCCCGCATACCCTACTTTTGGATGGTATATAGAGGGTTTGTTTGGTTTGCTGATGGGTACTTGATTAATGTTGCAGGAGCCGAGTGTCGTGTCCAAGCTTCAAAACGAGGTTAGTTGACCCTCCTGACAAGTTCTTTTTAAATCTATGACCATCTAACACGTTTCTAGGCCTTCTTGTGTATGACATTCTTTTATTAAACGGTGACATTTTTAAACCTATTAGAAGGTCTTGAATTTAAAAAAACCGTGTCCGAAAGTCACACCCCGACACACATATATATACAATTATATACCTCTTCTAAAACCGAGATGGTGGTCAGGTTGATGCGGTTCTAGGTGATAGGTTTCCAACCATCGAGGACATGAAGAAACTTAAGTACACGACTCGAGTGATCAATGAAGTAAGAAAAAGCGTCTTTATGTTTTGGGGCCAGGAATCGTATGCTCGATGTTATTCCCTCATATTCAATTGTATCAATTGCAGTCGTTGAGGCTCTACCCACAACCACCGGTTTTGATTCGGCGTTCCCTTGAAGATGATGTTCTCGATAAGTATCCAATTAAGAGGTCAAATAATATGAGTGTTGGGCTATTGGATTGTGTTATTTGGTTTGTTTACACATGTGCATACCGGTTGAAATTCGTATTTGTTTGTTGATAGAGGTGAAGATTTTTTCATTTCGGTTTGGAATCTTCATCGCTCTCCTAAGCATTGGGCAGATGCAGATAAATTTAATCCCGAAAGATGGCCGTTAGATGGACCAAATCCCAACGAGACAAACCAGAATTTCAGGTACTCGGTGTCTTCATGAATGGACCTTAGATGGTATCTCTTTCACTCACTTTTCACAAATCAAGGGGTGTTCACGAAAACAACCGTTTTCCTTTTTGGGGTAGAGATCATGTTTGTATACATCATATCCCCGGACTCCACCTTCGGGTGGGATATCGTTTGGTTTGGTTTTTGAAGAATCATTACATATGTTGTGAACCGTTTCAGTTACTTGCCGTTTGGTGGCGGACCAAGGAAATGTGTTGGTGACATGTTCGCTTCGTTTGAGGTAATTATTTTACGTACGATGACCAACTATCAATATCCCAACAAACGGAAGAAAGGAAGTGGAACAATTATACGTTCTAAGAACACGCTAAAAATGGTAATACAAAATCTGATGCTTGCAGGCCATAGTTGCGGTGTCGATGCTTGTTCGTAGATTCAACTTTCAAATGGCACTCGGAGCACCACCGGTAAGCCAATGTTCCTATATTTCCCAGAATCTTATTCCATCCGCCTCAAACTAAATGCAGCAAACGACTCTCCAATCGTAAATTACAACATTGATAGCTGTGACTCTCTAATCTTACACCCGGACTCTATATTGACATGGGATCTTACGGAAGAAAGAATTCGTTTTCCAGGTCAAAATGACGACAGGAGCAACTATTCACACGACGGAAGGTTTGAACATGACGGTAACACGAAGAATGAAGCCTCCAATTGTTCCTACGTTGGAGACGCAAAATTTGGAATCGTCAGAAACTGTTCCTAAAGCTGATCCGGTTGTTACTTAAGACATGATGTCTTCCGCCTCATTCTTTCCCATTACACGATATAAAACGAAATAGGAAGAAGAAAAAAGAAGGTATAATACACAATGCTCCATAGCTTTACGACTTCCGGTTTCATAGCGACACCATCTCAACCAGCAAAAGCGAAAAAAGGAAGTGCTTTGCTTGGTTGAGTGATGCATTTTTAGTACATATTGCAGTAGAAATGGGTTGCTTGTAACGGGTGAGTCGAAATATCTGTTTTATAGTTTATGTATGTAATTCGATATTTTTAGTCATTCATCCGTATACCATGGTTTTATTTTCGTTTAGGCATTTTATCGAACACCTGTGTTGCATGGTATCAGTATGACTTCTACATGCAAACGAACTTGATTCAAATTTTGATGTATTTATGATTTCAAGCTTAGTAGTTGGTCCTCGATATTTGTATTGTAAGTTCGGAAACCATCTCTTTTCTCTTTTTCTACTGAAACAACTGTTCTACTATCTGGCATAGAGACAAAATTTGTATATATCCTACCCCGGACTCTACCTTGTGTCGGATATACTGGTTCGTTTGGTTTAATTTAGTTTGGAAACCACATAAACCGTCTTGGTGGCATTCCCATATGGGAACTCAGGAGCCTAGACCATTCCCGGATATATGCTGACGTTTTACCCAATACTAGTAGCATATAATCTGCACAAAAAGTCATTATAACATTCAGAGGTCTCGGGTCCTTGAACCATGCTCGTGGACATTTTAGTGAATTTGATGGGAAATATGGGTGTGATTTGGTGGCGGCAATCGACTTCGTCATTTGCCTGGCTCTGTCAACCCGTCCTTATTCTAGGCGAGCCTTGATTTGATTGAAGCAAGCTTGAACCCTATCGAAACACGTCTAGTGAACATCTCAATCGAGTAGAGGAGCCGATTTGTCTCTTGAATTTGTAGTATCACTTCTAGATCTCAGGATCGTGGACCATCCCTGAATATATGCCGATCTTTTATGTAAAAGTAGTTGCTTAGTCTCATCATTGAGAGGAATAATCATTATAATGAATCATCCAAAAAGTATATATCTATCACCTCGATAGGGTTGTTCGACGTTCCTCTACAACGTAAATGGTGATTCACACATGCTCACCATACCATTTCACTACAAAACAAAGAGGCTCCACCCAGTAATTTCGGGCGGATCACCAACGACTTGACCATCACAGACGGATTATTGACGTATTTTTTGTTGGTGATTGAAAATCCACCGAATCACCGGCTATATTTTCTCCGGCAATGAGAGTGATGTCTTTTTTCGAGAGAGTAATGAATCCTCTTGTATGAAGACACATTTCCCCTTCTCAGAATTTTTGTTTGGCATTGCCTATACAAACATGTTCTCAATACAACAATGTGAATTTCATGAAAACTAATTATGCTAAAATATTAGAAAATTAATTAGGTTTGTAAAATAATAGTTATATGATTGGTAGGTACAATTTATATCACCTAATTAAAATCAGTGGCAAATCTAGGATTTTTGTCGAACAGGGATCAAGAGTTTGTAAAATCGCTTGATTTGTTTTTAGCTAAATTCCACCACTCCGATATTTTGTTAGTTTTTTAATTGATTTTGAGTAATTTTTTGTTTTTATTGTTGATTTGAAAGACTTTTTTGGTTGATTTCAAAGATTTTTTTTGGATTTTTGATTGATGTTTATTGTATTTTCTAATATCTCATAGCACCCCTCAATTTTTAGTTGGTACATCTTTTATACCCCAAATTTTTTATTTACAAAAAATATTTAGTGGGTGCATGGGACCTTCCTAGGATCTAATAAGTTCGCCCTTCTAAAATACACTTTATGCTTATTGTTGGTCCCGATAGGGATGACAATAAACATAAAGTAATTGTAGAAAGAGGGGGGAGGGGTGGGTTGAATACAATTACATAATTTTTTTAATTTTTTAATTCTTATTGATGTATATCAAGAATTAACACACAAAGATACAATAAATAATGTTGCGGAAGAAAGGAAAGAATAACCTACCCAACAATCTCCCCCTATTTGATGATGACACAACCACTTAGAAAGAAATAATAACAAGATATACTAATCCATCTAAAGAAGATCTTTCTACAGACTGACCATATTTCTGCAAAAGTTTGTCTCTGCATGAACAGTGTTGTATGCATGCCGTGTAGGATGAAAATGAGATATCAACAATAGTCAAGTCAACCCCTGTCTTCTTATCCTTAGGTGACAAGTGTCCCCATGTATTTAATGCTGAAGGTAGTATAAAAGGTAGTATGCATCTCCCATGCAAACTGACTTCCTTTGAAAGATTTTTAAGTGCATTCTCAAGGCAACCGACTCTCCTCTTCTACTCCCTTACTCTCTTGTGTATGAAAAAAAACTTAGTGTGTTCTCCATTTCCTTGCAAGTACTCTTTGTGTTGTTCTTGTAAGTTCTTCTCTTTGTAAGATTGTTTAGGTTAGGTTATCCTTGTAAATTCGAGAGAGAGAGATATATGGTGTATATTGTTTTTCTATACTTTCACCAAATAGGAGTACAAGTATTTATACAAGGAGGTAACTAACTATCTATGGTATGGCCTTAATTCATGGATCAAGAAAAGAAAATACACAACAATCAACAGCAAGGTTTCTGAGTTTGGCTCTTGCTAACACTCCCCCTCAAGGTGGAGAATGTATATCCAACATTCCCAGCTTGTTAAGAGAGCCCTGGAAAATTCTCCCACAAACTGCTTTTGTTAACATATCCGCAAGCTAATTCTTTGACTCGACATATGGAAGTTCCACAGTTTTCTTCTCGAGGTGATCCTTAATGAAATGTCGATCAATTTCTACGTGTTTGGTTCTGTCGTGCTGAACTGGGTTGTTAGCTATMTTCACAGCAGCTTGGTTGTCACAATGTAGCTGCATAGGGGATGTTAAGTGGATACCCAAGTCCTTCAAAATTCTTCTAATCCAAATTAGTTCACGCACACCGTGTACCATTCCTCGAAATTCAGCCTCGGCGCTCAATCTTGAGACCACTTTTTGCTTCTTGCTTCTCCATGTAACCAAATTTCCCCCTACAAATGTAAAGTACCCCGAGGTGGACTTTCCATCAGTTTTATCTCCTCCCCAATATGCATCCGTGTATCCGCACACTTAGTGATCTCGATTCTTTCCAAAAAATAAGCCCTTACCAGGAGAGGATTTAAGGTACTTAAGAATTCTATACACTGCCTTCATATGATCTTCGCTTGGTGCGTGCATGAATCGACTGACTACACTCATGGCATAGGCTATGTCTGGCCTGGTGTGAGAGAGGTATATGAGTTTTCCAACCAGTCTTTGATACCTTTCTTTGTTTGTGGGGACTTGATCTGGGAGAATTGATAACTTGTGGCTCATCTCGATTGGCGTTTCGATGGGCTTGCAATCCATCATCCCCGTTTTAGTTAACAAGTCTAGTATATACTTGCGTTGACACATGGAGACTCCAGATTTTGATCTGGCTACTTCAATACCCAAGAAATACTTTACGTGTCCGAGATCTTTTAGTTCAAACTCCATGGCAAGTATAGTTTGAAGATTCACCATTTCTTCCGGGTCATTTCCAGTGACTACCATATCGTCAACATACACGATAAGAGCAGTCATTTTTCCATTGTCCCTTTTTACAAACAATGTATGATCAACATCACTTTGTTTATACCTGATTTTTTTCATGAAGTTTGAAAACTTCCGAACCAGGCCCGGGGGGATTGTTTCAGGCCGTATAATGACTTCTTCAGTTTACATACCTTTCCACTACTTTTGACTCCTGGAGGAAGATCCATGTACACTTCTTCTTCAAGGTATCCATTTAAGAAGGCGTTTTTTTTGCATCAAATTGCTTTAGAGGCCAATCTTGGTTGGCTGCAATCGAGATTAAGATTCGGATTGTGTTCATCTTGGCTACGGGGGCAAAAGTGTCCCATAATCGATCCCGTACTTTTTTGTATATCCCTTGGCCACGAGTCTCGCCTTGTATCGATCTATGTTTCCTTCTGAATCTAGTTTAACCGTATATATCCACCTGTATCCAACCGTTTTTTTCCGAGAGGAAGTTCCACAAGCTCCCAAGTTTGGTTCTTTTGTAGCGACTCCATTTCTTCGTTCATGGCTTTCTTCCACTTTTCATCTTTCATGGCCTCCTGTACATCATTTGGTATTGATACAGTAGACAAATTTTCAACTACTAGCGCATGTGGAGACGTCAGGCGGTGATGTGAAACATAGTTTCCGATTGGATACTTCGTCTTTGCCTTCAGGTCCGGTTGGTACTGTTTCTTTGGAACACCTCGGTTGCTTCTGGTTGGATATCTAGCTTGGGATGTGTCATTCGTTTCCTGTAAGACAAAACCAGATGTGGTATCTGGAATGTTAGTATCGTTAGGCATACTATCAGTTACCTCGGGGTGATCGATAGTGATAGACTCGGTTTCATCGGCATTCTCAGTTTCCGGGGTCGTTGTACTATCTCGATTGTCTTCTTCTTCAATTTCAGCATCGTAATTACCCTTGTCAGGTGTGTTCTCGAAGGTTGCATGCTCGGTTGTTTCATGTATCGTTGCTGCGTTCTTGTTGTCATGGAGATCCAAATCCGGGGTAGATTCCATTTGTTGGTAGTGTGGGTTCGCTTCATCTTGTTTCTCCCCCTGAAGCGAATTCGCATCTCCAAAGTATTGAACGGTCTCCTGAAAGGATATATCGCGTGTCACATACATTTTTTCCATGATTGGATCATAGCATCGATACCCTTTTTTTTGATCTGCATATCCTAGAAAAATGCATCTGATTGCCCTTGATTCTAATTTTCCTACGTTCTGGTGAACATATGCCGTGCATCCAAAAATTCTTGCTTCGAGTCCGTAAGACACATGCATGTTTACCAGTTCATGTAGCTTTTGTAATGGGGTTTTGAAATCTATCACCTGTGAGGGGGTTCTATTCATGAGATATGCAGCTGATCGAACTGCTTCCCCCCAAAATTTTCATGGAACATTCATGTCAAATAAGGAGGCCCGGACTATTTCAAGAATCTATCGATTTCGTCTTTCCGCTAACCAATTATGTTGAGGTGTTCCTGCACACGATGTTTGTTGTCGAATGGAGTTTTCTTTGCAAAAACTTGCATTTCGAGGTTGATGTATTCCCCCCCATTATCAGATTGTAATATCTGAATTTCCTTTCGATACTGAGATTTGATGATGTGGTGTAGTTCCTTGAATGCATAGTGTACTTCCACCTTGGTTTTCAGAAGTGAGATCCAAATCATCCGAGTGCATTCATCAATGGAGGTTACAAAATACCGTGCACCACTAGGAGTGGGAATCCGAGACGGACCCCATACATCGGAGTGTATGGTCATAAA